TGCCATCCGTGGCGAACATTTTTGATGGAAACGGCCTGACATCAGTTGCGTTTGCGCCGGTACGTGTTTTCGTTTGCCTTTCGTTGTATTCTAGATACTCGACGCCACCCGCTGTTTTGTTCAAAGTCACATCGCCCCAGCACATACTGTGATGTTCCTGAATCCCACGAAGTCCGAAATGAAGAGTATTGTTCAGCCAAAGAGAGTTAAGAAGCGCCTCAGGACTTGAAATTCCAAGGAGACCTTTTTCATAGAGGACTTTCACCTCATCTTCTGTCAATGCCACTGATGCATTTGGCTTATTACCTTTGCCTCGTTTCTTTAGCTCTTTTTGYTTAGACTGCAGGGTTTTACGGGTTTTTTCAAATGCCAAATCGTTGATAATACTGACTTGGTAGTTTTTGCGCTTTAAAAATCTTTCAAAGCTAGCAATCATGCCTCGGAGGGACGTTGGCTCATAATTTTTTCCCTCTACTGTACGAACGGTAAGTATGAACTCACTCAGCAACTCATTGAGCTCAGCTGGAGGAATGTTTTCAACTTCCCTGTGCTCTTTCTTGGATTGAAGAAATACTTTAAGCAATTTTACATCTCTGTTGGTCTTAGCTTGTGTGTTTTTGTTTTCTTGTTCATAGATAAAGTCGTCTACCGTTCCTTCTAAGAGTGCAAATCTCGGCATTTCCTCCGCCATGTTTGTCATTCAAGTGCAAAAACTCGCGCTCGCTGAGTATCTTTTGATTGATATTTCGGATGCCAAAATGAAGCACAATCGTTCACGCTTCTGATTGGACGAACGAGAGTGAAAAATAGTCGTTCTCTTTTCTGATTGGTTGAATGCATATTTGGTACGAATTTTACGCAGGCTTTTTATCGTGGATAAATCTTAGTACGTATGAAATAAATAGCCATGCCCTGACTTAGATCAGCCCAGAGGTTGTTTCAGGGTTCGATCTGTGAGTTAGGCATGCCCTGACTTAGATCAGCCCAGAGGTTGTTTCAGGGTTCTATCTGTGAGTTAGCCATGCCCTGGCTTAGATTAGCCCAGAGGTTGTTTCAGGGTTCGATCTGTGAGTTAGCCATGCCCTGACTTAGATCAGCCCAGAGGTTGTTACAGGGTTTGATCTGCGAGTTAGCCATGCCCTGACTTAGATCTGCCCAGAGGTTGTTTCAGTTTGATCAGTGAGTTAGCCATGCCCTGACATAAATCTGCCCAGAGGTTGTTTCAGTTTGATCAGTGAGTTAATGAAGCTCTTTTTTTGCAGTATGACAGCCTTTTTTCAAAAACCGATCCCTCGACGCTTGTGACAGCGCATAGCGTAACGTAAATCAATATAATTTTCTCCTTATGGATATGAAATTTGTTGATCTGCAAAAGCATTGCATTGTTACAGTCCTATGCAATATGGATTCCGTGAAACTACTATATTACTACTTCTACTCTTTGGCTGATTTAACGATACAGTTTCCTGCGCCATCTTGAAAGGTAGCCGTGCCTTTGCATCGAAGCGAGACGAATGGTGAACTGGCAATGATAGAGACACGTGAATAATTGTCCAAGGTGTTAAAAAAAGGTCTCTATCATTGCAAGCTCACCATTCGTCTCGCTTCGATGCAAAGGCACGGCTGCCTTTCAAGATGGCGCAGGGAACTGTGAAGGGGTCTATTCCTAAGACTCGGAGAATCGGCAAAGCTGTGGCAGCCATGTTGGTGATATTACTAAAAGCTTATGAAAGATTTCTCCAACATGGCGGCAATGACGTAACAAGTGGGCCATCCCCTTTCAAAATTGATAACTATTCTTATTGAAAGCCAGTTGAATGTTACGGCATGTCGTACCGTATACGTACTGTAAGTCAGTGCCGCACGTTCCCTACTCATACGCTAACCATTCCTATGGAAAGCCATTTCAATGTCACGGCATGTCGTACCGTGTACGTACTGTAAGTCAGTACCGTATGTTTCCCACCCATACGATAACCATTCCTATGGAAAGCCATTTCAATGTCACGGCATGTCGTACCGTGTACGTACTGTAAGTCAGTGCCACACCTTTCCTACTCATACGATAACCATTCCTATGGGAAG